CGGGTAAATTGCGCCAAACCCCCCTGTATTATATGAAATCTGCGCGTTATCCCCCTGTATTTTAAAAATTGCGTCACACCCCCTTGTGTTATACTTTTGATTGGGCACGCTCCCCCCGCCTCGTTTCCGTGTTAACCCCGTTAATTTTTTGCTTAACTTCCCGTTATGCCCTCAGAAACAAACAATTACAGTCAGTCTAAAAACAAAAATATAAAATATCCTTAATTCATCTTCAACCTCAAAAAATAAAAAATAAAAAATAAAAAAATCAAAATCAAAATAAAAAACAAAACAAAGTATAAAATTTCATTCTAAACCATAGATCTAAAACAAAGTCTAAGATTTCATCCCCAAATTCAAGGGAAATAATTCGGACGAGGCGAGCTGGAGATATGGGGGTTTTCACGGTGGTGACGATGGAGACGACGCCGCTTTGCTGGAGCTCCCCTTCCTCCGCCGTGAAGGTGTCTCGCACCGGGGTGGCGATGGTTCTATTTGTCCAGCATCTGTCCCTTCCCGAAGTGGCGCTCTACCAAGCTGTTGAGGGCCAGGACGGGTTTTGTGGGTCTCGAGCGGCGAGGCGGAAGGACTGTCGCCACCAGATCTGTTCGCCGCCTTGATGGTGGTCGGGTCTGTGACTAGCGATTGGGTGACACTTAGCGTACCTGGTTCTGGTCAGACGGATCTGCCGCCAGGGGTTTTGGCTTTAGCAGCCTTTGTCGGTATTGGTTTGGGGGTGCTTCTGGTGGCGGGTCTCTCGACGTGTTGTTGTCCTTCCTGTGGTGGATGAAGGATGTGCTGGTGTGGAGGAGAAACTAATTTTCTTTTGCTATTTTTGTTCTTCTTGTGTTGCTTTTTTGCTTCTGCCGGCGGTTGTATGGCAGGCCCAACTTGATTCTGGCAGACCATTCAAGTTCATGTGGTGCTTGTTTTGTTTTACACTTAACCTTATTGTGTTTAATTAGATTTTGGCTTATTTTTTCCCAAAAAAAAAAAAATAGCCCATATGCATAAATGTTGCATATCTGGTGATATTTGATTTTATCTATGCTTTTCTTTTCTTTTTTTTTTTTAATAAGGGTTTTCCAATTGGATGAACTTGGAGATTGAAGAACCCTCAGCCAGGAAAGAGGAGTTCAATTTAATTCAGATATTAAGGGGCAAAATAGTCATTTCTCTGAGTTTATGGCGAAAAAATGGAGAAAAAGCCGCACCACACGCGCGTGAAATGCACATCCGTCAAGTTAGACGGTTTAGGGGATAACGCGGAATCAAAAGTATAATACAAGGGGGTATGGCGCAATTTTTAAAATACAGGGAGATAACGCGCAGATTTCGTATAATACAGGGGGATTTGGCGCAATTTACCCCTTCAAACACCTTGGTAATCGTGGAAGCAATGGCGAAGATTCAAGTACTTGCGCAACTTATGGAGAGCCTGAGAAAATGCCCATCACAGAACATACTCCCCAATCGAGTGATTTTTAGTATGAACTTTTCATGTTTTTGGAAGCAACTATTCGGGTGTTGATATTTCATATTTCTTGTGAAATTTAGCTACCGATTAATCCATATAGAAAAGCAAAGAAAAGGGCCGAAGACATTGTATTGGACTTCTTAAAGACATCAAATATGGCTATGATGATCCTCGTTAAGTCAAAAAGACTAATAACTAAAAGACACTTTTACTAATTCACAACGAATATGTGTAAAAGTTGGGTTTTTTTTCTCTCTTTAATTTATCTTTAGGAGGTTACGATGAAATTGTTACAGTACCTCATATCTTCAGATATGTGTTTTTGTGTAGACTTCTATAGTAATATGTTCTTGAGCTGTAATCTCAATCAAATAATGTATGTGTAATTATTGTGATTATTACTATGGCTGATTACTCTTTGGCATTTGCTTTGGAATGGTCCTGTCCCAATTTGAATAAGATTGATGAGCTGAAATTTTTGAGAATTAGTGTTATAAATCAAGAAAAATCGAAATTTTGATCGAAACTTCGTGAACTCTGGTGAGGGTAGTGAGGTTTTCACCATTGGTGTGTATTAATCCAAGAATGAAAGAAACACAATATATGTGAACAAATGCAACATACGCTAGAATAGAAACTGCAACAAATTATGATAAATTTTAGACCGCCGTGCGTGCACGGCGTATTCCCATCTAGTATATATATATA